TGTAGTCCCGCTCATAAACGAATGCGATGTCAACAGTGGTGTGTGTCTGGGGGATCAACGGCAGCCGGAGAACATTGTGTATGCATTTCTCGCACGCAGTGGTCACGTTCCTCAGGAACAAGGCCATGGGGATGTTTGCAAAGTGATGCTACAGTTGCTTTCTATGTATGCAGGTCTCCTCAGCCCTCAAAATCTCCACATGCATAAAATAATTTTATGAAATCATGTCTCCAAGACTCTCTGTTCATATTCATTTTCTTCTCGTTCATTCATTTTGCCATCTGTGAACTCACTAGTGCATAAGCTGTCGCAGGTGCCAAAGGTTGAAAAAAAATTATGGGAGGAAAAACTTGAAATTGATCAAATCCTATCTATCCTTTCTTCCTCCTGGAAATTGAAAAATGGCATTCATCATGTCATTTTAGGAGAGGAAATGCTGGTTGCTCTTTGTGGTCCTGTGGCGGTCTTTGGGAGGAGAGTTTAGCACTTTCTAAACCAGGGTGGCTTTTCCTGGTGATAGTGCATCCCTATGGGACCACAGATGGGCTCTTGGGGTCCAAAACCCTTCTAACATTGTATGCAAAATGTCATGGATATCCATGTGACTATGTGCCTTTTTTCTGGGGAGAGAGTTCATAGCTTTAACCTTCCTTTTAATCCAAACAAGATTAAGAATCAATGTTTTACAGGAACAAAAAAGGAAAGAAAAGATAGAAAGTATATACCCTAGCTCATTTAATTCCTCATAATTACCCTGAAAATGAGGCACCATCACTTCCATTATGTAGATGGGAAATAGCAGCTCTGAGCAGTAAATTAAATCTTTCCTTGGATCCCTGACATCCATTCTCAACTTAGACCCGTGGACTGTTAGAGCTGGGATGCTCCAGAGAGGTTGTCTGTCTGTTTTCCACCCCCTCTCCTTTCATAGAGGAGGAAGCTTAGGTCCAGAGAAGTGAAGTAGATTGTCCAAAGTTACATGATCAATTTACAGCAGAAATGAGTTCGAAAGCCAGTCCTTTGGCTCTCTGTCCAACCTATGGCTTAGTTCTTGCAAAGCCAGGGAGCATAAGTTTCACCAAATGTTAAATGGAATTAGTAAGAGACTGTCCTCCTGTCACCTGGCCTCAGGTTGGGTTGGTTCCCACTGATCTGTGTCATGGTCCCCAGGGACCTAATGGTCCCAAACATACTCAACTTATTAGTCTTAGGAATACACAAACGCATGCACAAAATGATGCCAGGCACCAGGAACCTCAAATGAGTGGAAAGAAGCCATTAGCTCGATAATCAACCCTTGGCTTGGGAAACATCATCATAGACACTTGGAGAGCAGGTGAAGGAGCTTGAAGGACTTTGGCCATGGTACACCCCTCAGTGTGGTGACCAGGCCCTTCATCCTTTGGCACCTGCCTATCTCTCAGTGGTCATTTTGGACACTTTCCCCTTTCACTCTTTGCTCAGGTACCCTGGAGGCACGTGCAGTCCCCCAACCATGCCTTCTCCAGCACCCCCATAGTCGTCTATTTCCTTGTCAGTCCTCCTTTCTCAGATGATACATTCCTTGAGGGCAAGTGCCTGGCACGCAACTGACAGACAATCAATAGTGCCCCATCAATGGTGAACTCGTGTCCTTCAGGTGTTTCCTCTTCCTTTGCTGCCCTGCTCCCTTCCAACTGGGCCAGGAAGCTTGTTCTGTGCAGCGCGGGATTGGCCCTGGCGGCGAGGGGATCTGGGTTGTTAGCACACCCGCCTGTGGAAGCAAATTCCTTGGTTTCTGGGAGCCTCCTTGCTTCTCTGTAACATTCACTGGAGCTTTCGGGAGGCCCTCACCCCTGCTGAGTTTAGTCCTCAAAGTGGAATTGAAGTCACTGAGCCTGGGGAAGAAGAGGTCCCAGGTCTCTCCGGGGCCCCTAGGCTCAGGCAGGCTGAGCTCAGCTCTACCTGACAGAACTCGCGTTGCCCACCGAGCTCACACCTGTGGGCGGGGCCTGCCTCTGACTTCCTCCTTCCCAGCTGCCAAGAACCATATCAGAGACCCTCTGTGGACCCTTTCTCACAAGACGTGTTCATAGTTAAGGCTCTCACAAAAATAGCTTCAAGCTGGAAAGAGAAAAATAAAAGAACTCCGGCTTGTCTCCACCAAAAACAACGAAGCAACAGCATGGAGGCAGCCTGCTCAGACCCTGTACGGCTACTCACGGAGACGCCTCTTCCTTCCGCTCTCCCTAACTGCTGCAAGCCGCACTGACTCTGTTGCTGAGGTTGTGTGCCGTGATTTGATGAATTGATTGATTTTTTGATTTATCTTCTGGCTCTTTGAGGTCACTGCTAATTCAGCCTTGTGATTTGGGCATGTGATTATTCTACACTCCTGGCCTTCGTGTCATCATTTGGGTCACTCTCAAAAACGTGACCCATCCCCTAGTCTCCTGTCTATCTAACCTCTCCAGATCTTCACGAAGGAATGATTACACACATGGCTACTTGTTTGAAATGATGATAATCAAAACCACCCCAGCACGCCCAGGAATTTAGGCACGCAACTGTGTCTTTGGTTAACAACCACTTAATAATCACCAGGAGCTGGCAATTGATTTGCTCTCTTGAGTTTCCTATCTTTTTTTCTTTAAACAAGTTAAATTTGTAGACCTGCTCCAACGTGAGTAAAGCCAGAATCCCCAAATCAGAAGAGGTGCAAATATATGTGAGGCCTGAAGCAATCCAAACCTGTTAGAATATTCTTTGCTCCATCTCAGATTGATCTGATTTTTTTTTTTTTCAAAGGAAGCCAGAAATCCAATGAAGCAGTTCAAATTGCAACTTAAGCTATAGATTTTTAAAAGTTTATGAAACCAACTGGAGCAAGGCAGAAGCATCCAGAAGACTCCCAACTCCCTGAATAGACATGTCATTCGGTTCCTGTCCCAGATGGGGGTGGTCTGAGGACACTCCCTGTTCTTCTGCATCTGACAGTCTGGGGTACCAGCTGGACATTTTCTAGCCTGATGTAGTGAGGGGTGAGTCTGTCTCAGGAGAGGACTTCCACGCCCTGGCAAAATGATCACTCTCAGTCTTTCTTGCTTTAAGAGGATTTACAAATGGAAGTGTGAGCCTGGGAGCTTGGGGGTATAGCTTTGAACTGCCACTAACTCACTGAGTGAACCTAGGCAAGTCCCTTCCTTCCTCTCTTGCGAGAGAGGAAGGAAAATGAGGGCTGTTGGCTATTTGGCCCAAAGGGTCTTTGGCAGGCAGAACAATGGCCTCCAAAGATGTCCATGTCCTAATCCTGGAATCTGTGAATATGTTACTTTACATGGCAAAAGGGACTTTGAAGATGTGATTAGGTTAATAACCTTGAGATGGGGAAATTATCCTGGGTTATTGTGGGCCCAGTCTAATCACAAGGGTCCTTACAAGATGGAAGACGGGGGCAGGAGAGGATCTGAGTTCGAGGGCGATGCGACGGCAGGAGAAGGTCATTGTTGTGTGATGTGAGAAGACTCAACCCATCATTGCTGGCTTTGAAGAAGGAGGAAGAGGCCATGAACCAACGCATGTAGGAAGGCTTCTAGAAGCTGGAAAAGGTGAGGAAAGGGTTCTTTCTCAAGGGCCTCCAGAAAGGAACACGCCCCCTGGTGACTCCTAAATTTTAGTCCCAGGAGACCCGTGTTGGATTTCTGATCTCCAGAACTATAAGAGGATAAATATGTGTTGTTTTAAGCCACTAAATTTGTCATAATTTGTTACAGCAGCGATACTAAACTAAAACAGGGCCCCTTCCTGCAACTTTGCACTCTGTTTTTAAGAATTAAAACCCAGCTTTGCCAACGGCCTTGGGCAGCACCAGCTGAGAGGAGACATCACAGGGAAGCTCTGCCCAGCTGCCTCCCGGAGGCTGGTCCTGCCTGCTCCTCTGGCCACCGCCAGCGTGTGAGCGCAGCTGGTTTGACTTGTCCCGTTGGGCAGGAGGAGGAGTACTGTCACAGCACTCCGAGTCTGAAGGGGCCCCCGAGATCATCTGTGAAGACACAGGTAAGGTATTATCTTCATCCTCAAACTGAGGGAACTGAGTCCAGAGAGGTGTAGGGACTTGTCCATCATCATATAGCTACTGAGAGAAGGCCATGGGGCTGGGCTCCTAACTCCTGGTGCGAGGCTCTTTTTGATTGATCACCTTGGGGAAATACCTTTTCCTTGTGCTAGTGGGTCGGGCAAGAGGAAGAGAGAGAGAGAGAGAGAGAGAGGGAAAGACTGAATGGCAGAGCAGGGACCAGAACCCTGAACCCCAGGTCTACCAGTGCTTTCTGTGCATCTATGCATGAGAAGAAGGGTGCAAACTGTATTAGGCCTTTCTTCACGGCTACGGGTTGGAAGTGGTGGGGGGAGGGGGGATGTGAGGTGAGGCCGTGGGAGCTGTCCCTATAGAAGTAGTGTGATGCAGCGAAGACAAGGATTCTGCCTGAACAGGAAGTTCTATGTTCCCTCCCCAGCGAAGGACTTTCCCAACCTCCTTTCCCACCTGGCCATCCTCTCAGGAGTCATGGGGAGGAAGATGTGACCTTTGCAGGGACATGCGGGTCTGTTTGATGGGGGTGAGGAGGTGGGGTGTGGAGAGGGTCGAGAAAGGCAGGGGTGTGTGAGGGGGGCCACGCTGGGCCTGTGTCCAGCCGGGATTCACTGATGGGGTCAGGAGGAGCTGGGACAGAAGACGAAGAGCAGAGGGATATGAGGCCTCCTATGGTTTTCGGGTCTGGGCAGACTTCTCTGCCTCCCCCTTCATGCCACATGCCTATGGTCCAGGGCAGTGTCGTCCAGACCATGGGCTGCGACCCCTTAGTGGGTCGTGAAGTCATTGACAAGGTTACGATCAATAGGTTTTAAAGATGGACAATAGGCTAGAATATAGAGTGTACACATTTTGTAAAGGTAAGTGTTGCTGCATAAAACTTTATATATATATATATATATATATATATATATATACACACACACATATATAAAATCTGTGGTTTTGGACCGGGCCGGTCTGGCCCTTTCCCAAGCCCACGGGGAGGGAGACCTGAGTGTGGGGAAAATGCAGAAGGGACACAGCCATTTCCACAAGACCAGCTTTTAATATGACTGTGATTGGAAGCACAAATAAATAAACGCCAGAGAAAATGGAAAAACCGAACTGAACCAAACCTCAGAACATCGAAACCAAAAATCAGAAAACAGAATAAAACAGAACCGATTTCTGACAGACAAACCAAAAAGCCCCAAAGAAAGAGAATCAGACTGTACAAGCCGTGTCACAGGGAGAGCAGAATGACGGGGGCGCTGCGGAGGAGTCCCGGAGTCACCCAAGCCACCATGCCTCGATCACAGGCGCTGGGATGGGCGGGGGGTGGCCCTGGTCACCCCTTGGGTCAGCTGCGGGGAAAGGGGTTTGTGGGCAGGTTGAGAACCTTCACAGACTACACAAGGACCGGACGTCGTCAAGAGGTCTGCGGTTTCCCTCTAGACCGGGCAGTTGTGGTTCCAGCGTGGCCTCAGGGTGACTTTGGGCTGGAACCCGGTCCACTGCATGGCTGCAGAGTGGCTGCTGGACGCCACACAGAGGAGTGTCACATACAGAGACAGACGTGGAGGTGGCGCCGTGAGAAGTCTGGGCATGCAGGTGCTTTATACATCTGGCAGTGAGATGTGATGGCAGGTTGGTTTTTGGACAGTTCCAGAGTGTGACTAGTTTCTCCTCGGAGGGACGCACGGCGGGGCCCGAGGACGCGTCATGTCAGCCGCGGCCGGAGCGAGGTTTGGCAGATAGTTTGCTATGTGTGCATAGGGGGCTCTTGCTTCTTTCCGTTGCCAGGGGCCATTCCACCTGAGCCTGCGGTCCCCTGTCCTGGGTCTTGAGCCTCAAGGTCTGTTTTGGGGGTGCCGGGTGGTCCGGGGGCTGTCAGCAGGCAATTTCCTCCAAGGTCCCCAGGGCCGTCTGCAGGGGCACATTCACAGTGTGGCTGATGGTTTCAGAGTGGTTTGGCATCGTGTCACAAGTGCTCTGGAGGGAAGCGGAAGTGGATGTTTACATTCATTTGGCAAAAATTCATCACGATGCCACCAGCAGCCCTGGGAACTGTGCTCCCCACTTCCGGGCTCTGCCGGGGCGGTGCTACTCCCACCCCAGACGTCTCATGCACCTGTTTGCCATCTCGGGGCATGAGGCTGCAGGGGCCTCACTGCCTTCAGAATCCTCATCATTGTCCACCTAGGTGCCCCCCAGGGTGGGGAGAGGGCTCCCTGGTGATGGGGTTTAGCAGCTGGTTTGACCTTCTCTCCTAGAGGTCCCCTGATGTGCCACCTGAAGCCACATCTGAGTGGTGTCTAGCTTTGGGGCCGGAGGGCCCCTCCTGACCTTGTCCTTGGGGGTCTCCTTGGGGGGCCTACCTGGGGTGGAGGAGGAGCAGCCCATGGCTTGGCCTGGGGCAAGGGGTGCCGATTGCTGACGCCAAGCAGGAAGCGTGGAGGGTCCCAACAGCCAGAACCAGAGCTGCCCCAAGGACCTTTAGGGTTAGGCTGGCCACAGGGAGAAGTCCTCTTGGGTCCCTGAGCAGGGTGGGACTGAGATGGCCATGAATCTTTGGGGCGATTCCCAGGCTGCGGTGGGCAGGAGGCTGGGAGGGATGGGAGCAAAGAGACTAGCCAGGAGGCTGTGCCAAGATATTGGGGGAGACTTGAGGACGGGGCTGTAGATGGGGGAGGGCATGGAGGGGAGGCTGTGACTCTGAGACATTCTGAAGGCAGGAGCAAAGGAGGGGTTGGGGGAGGGAACCTCCACAAGCCGAGCACTTGCTGTAAACTAGGCACCTGCTGATTGCTTTGCAGGCCTGGTCTCACTTAATCCGAATGACAAGCCTCTGAGGTCTCTGTGATTAGGCAGACGCTCAGGGATGTTAAGCGACTTGTCCCCATACAAACATCTAGGAAGCAGGGACCTGGGATCCAGCCAGGTCAGCTGAGTCAGAGCCTGGGCCCCTTCCATACCGCCCTCCCCTCAACAGACTCTGTCTTCTATTAACAGAGGCTGCTAACAGGGGCCCGAGAGAATTAAAGCAGGATTTGCAGCCTGGGAGATGGGTAGAGAAATAGCGTCTGGAACAGAAGTGGGAGGTGCTGGGATCCCTTCTGGATTTGTTGACTTCGAGGGGGCGGTGCCCACCCAACGGGCGTGGTCCTCTCAGGGCCAGAAGTGCTGACCCCAGGGAAAGCCAGTGATCCCTGTGTCTCTCCACTGAGTTTGGGAAGGAGAAGGGACAGCCCTCCGAGGTGCCGCCTGTCTGGCTCAGGAAAGAGAGGCAAAGTAGGACAGTGGTTAGGGGCACCTTGTGTTCAGCTCTGATACTCACCAGCCATGTGACCTTGGCCTCTGGGCCTCAACTGCCTCAAATACAAAATGGAGATAAAAATAGACCTTTCTCTAGGGTGACTGTACAGCTGAAACGACATGGCATTCTTCAGGCACGTAGCACAGAGCCTGACACGTACCTGGTAGAAGGGGTATTATCGCTACTACCAACCTCACAGTGCCCCGCACCCTATGTCTACTTCAAAGGGAGGAGAGTACCAGGGACATCACTGCTTGCCTTTTGCCACCGCAGAGAATAAGGGAGCAGACCTACGCGTAGCCTCTCTGGTTCTCCCCAGGCACGAGATGAGGGGCGTTGCCCTCTGGTCTGGGAGAAGCTGGACGGGGCTGGGCAGGACCTACCCATGGAAGCATCCCCTGGTATCCGTTGCATTCACGGCTTACTAGTGGGCTTTGGGATGAGACTCAGAGAGAGACTCAAGGCTCGGCTGGAGTGTCCTTGGATTTGGGAGCTGACGGGTGGTCGCAAGCCAAGGAAAGGTGTGAGGCCAGGGACGCCCCTCCCGCCCTGCCCCAATATGTGGTTTCCTATGGCTATAGAAGTCAGAGGAACAAAACAGCCTACATCCCACGAGCTGCTCTTACCACATTCTCATCGTGGCTCCCTTCGTCCTCTTCTTTGCCAAGCAGGTCTAATAGCTTCTCTTTGATCAGCTGCAAGAAAGGCAGGGAGGGGTTGTTGGGGCTGGGAGAAGGGTGCCAAGGTCGTGAGGCCTCTCTCCACTGGGCTCGGCTGGGCACCCACAGCGGCTGCCTGGGCTGGGGCTGGACAAACCGCGCAGGAGCCCAGCCTGGCAGCCAGCTCTAGGAGGCCCTCCCCAATCTTTTGGCTGAAACGGGATTTTGGTGCAGGAGCGAGAGCCTGGAAGAGGTCACGGGAGGGCCCTGTCTCACAGTGTGGACTGCTTCCTCTTGTGGATGGAGGGTGTGGATAAGCGGTATGTGCTGGCACGGCTGGCTCCCCGTCTGTCCTCAGGAGCAGCCTGGGAGACCCCTTCCTGAGGCTGGGCCTGGGGAACAGGATTACTAATCACTTTCTAGGCTGACAACTCCATAGTTCACAAGATAGGGCATGCTTGAGTTCATAACCATTTATTCTTAGCAGTAAAGGGTAGTTATTAAATATGTCACCTGGTGTGATCCAATTTTCATAGCTTTGTACAGCTTTTCACAAAAATTAATAAAGCAGAATAGTATCTGGCCACGGGACCTGATTTGGGCTTAGGGACAAGGTTACCCTGCTAAGAGGAAGGGTGTGGCACTCCAGGGAACCCTGGTCACAGGGCTCCTCTAGCTCCCCACAGTGATTCCCAGGGGCCTTTGGCCATTGACAGTGCTCTCTGGGAGGCGGGCTCTGCTCTGCAGGCTCTGCGTGCTGGGCTGATGCTCAGGGTCCTGGGGACCGCGTAGGGCCTGGGTATACCTTAGGAATTCCAGACCCACTGGAGCCAGTTTGGCTCTGGGGGTGATGCAGGAGGAAGGCTGACGAACACCAGGAGCTCTCAATGCCGGAGGGCACTGTTCCTGGTTCAAGAAGCTTTCAGGGGCCCTGTTCCAGCTGCCTCTGAGGGAGACATCTCCCCAGCCTGTCACCAGTCAGATGCGGCTGGTGTGTCCTTGTTCTTCTTGCTCTGGATTGATGAGGATCACCAGAAAATGCCCCTCCCCTAAAGCTGCCTGGGTCATGGAATGCACTACACAGGTGACAGGCCACCCAGAGGGCAGGGGCGTGTGTGTGTGAATGTGGCGTATATGTGTGAGTGGTGGTGTAAACATGTGGGGTGTGTGTGGTTTATGTGTGAGTGGTGTGTGTGCATGTGTGTGGGGTGTGTGTATGATGTATGTGTATTTGTGAGCAGTGTGTGTGTGAGTACTGTATAAGGGTATGTGATATGTGTGTGAATGGGTGTGGTATATGTGTGTGAATGGTGTGCGTGTGTGCATGTGGTGTGAGTGTTGTATATGTGTGTGCATATAGTGTGTGTATTTGTGAGTAGTGTGAGTGTGTGTGATATATATGTGTGTGGTGCGTGTGTGTGCATGTGATATGAGTGTGTGGGTGCAGACACACTCATGTATGAAGCCACCACATCCGGCCTCACCATCGCGGGGCTCAGAGGTAGCCTCAGCACCGTCTCTTCTCCTTCTCAACCCTTCCCATCCCTCCCTCCCTGGGAGTGTGGACAGCCCACAGCTCTTCCAGCTCCCTGAGGACAGGGCTGTGGCTTCCATCCCTGTTACACCCACCCCTCCCACATGTCTAGGACTCGGTGATAGACAATATCCATGGACAGGGAGGAGAGAGCAGGCCCTGGTGGAAAGAGGCCATCCTCTCCCCCACATTTTGGTTCTGGACATGGGGGCAGGATGAGGGGACCAGCTTATGGTCATTTCCCCACAAGCAATCCCAAATCTTACCTCATAAATATAATCAAAGAGCTCTAGTATTGTAAGGATACTAGCACCAATAAATAGTCCCATCTGACCACCAATATCACCTGGAAAGAGAGAGAGAAGACCAAAGATGTGGCTTTACTCACACAGCTCCCAGAAGGGGTGAACAGACTAAGAACTCAGAAACCAGACCTTCTGAAAGGGGAGCCTGGGCCTTGTAAGTGGAAGGCCAGCCTTTGACAATGAGCCTCCCTCATTGCGCAACTCTGAGAGCAGATGGTTGTCAGCACCCACTGGGGATGGGAACTAACCTGAATGCTTATTGGAGGGGCCTAGAATAGGTCTCATAGGCTAATGGGCTTTCACTCAGAGCCACACTGGGTGAGCCCTACTTTGGCTCGGGGTTGGGAATAGACACAAGACATGTGTGGTCCTTGCCTGGGGAGAGGGCACAGTCTAACCTGAGACACATGTGTCAGGTGCCCTGAGTGGGGGCCTCTGGAGCAGTGGCACAAGAGACCCGTCTACCCACCAAATCATCACATGGCCTTGGGCTACCTTGGGAGCACCTCTCATCCTTGGGATCAGGTCATACGAAGCACCCCCTATGTTCCCCTTTGCACTGAAGGTAAATGTTCAATTTGGCTTCTTTCCAGAGCAGAGGTTCTTATCCTGGGGTGTATGGGACAAAAGTCCCATATTGACCAAAGTCTTTCTAGAATGGTCTCCAGATCCCCCTGCATCAAACTCCTGGGAGACTTGCATCCAGTGTAGCTACCTGCACCCACTCTAGGCTTATAAAATCAGAATCTCTGGGGTTGGGGTCTGGAAGTCAAGATTTTTAAGTTCCCAAGTGGCTCTCTGGTCCCCCAGAGTCTGAGAGTCACTCTCCTGTGGGAGCTTCAGATGGTTGGAGACCTCCTGAAATTGAATGCAAAACACTATGCGCATGCACTGGGCATTTGCAGAGGGTGAGTCCCTATTTGAGAAGCTGTTACCAGATTCTCCAAGATTCACCCGGCGTCTCTGGATGTTTTGCTCCAGAGGCAGTGTGACGGGGCAGAGGGCTCTGCGGCTCTGAGTCTGGAGAGTGGCCACCAGCTTGCTGTGTCGTTTGATAAGCCCTGCCCTTCTCAATAGCTTTGCCTTCAAAGCACATTTGCTGATGGAGGTGGTTGGGAGAGGGGATGGAGGAGACAACTGAAATCCTTTCCAGCAGTAACCCCTAAGACTGTCAGCTGCTGGGCTGGGCTGGGGAGAGTGCTGGGAGCCAGGGGTGCTGTTGAAGGTGGGTGTAAAGTCCCACTGGAGAGTCCAGGCTGACCTCTTGGTCTGAGAACTTTCTGGTGGGTACATCTCCCTTCTCCTCCCCAGATAATGGCTGAGAGGAGACCAACAACCACATCCCAAGGGGAGCAAGCTGAGAGGGTGGGGAGGGGGCTCTTGCTGGTGGGTCTTGGTGCTGTGCTTGGAATGGCTCCTCCTCTTTCCTCTCCTCCCCCACTGCTCTCTCTAATATCCTTAATGGGGACATTATTGGGGAGAGTGTGCTTATGTACGTGCATGTCAGGTGTGAGGTGTGTGTTTACCCATGCGTGCAGTGTGACTGAGGGTGGGACGTGTGCTGTGTGTGTGCACGTGTTTGTACAGAAGCTGGCAGTATGTCTGGCCATTGATGGCTTGATGTAGGTGGCTCTCTATGTCTAGGGTAGGTACATCAAGTGAGTCTAAGTGTAAGTGTGGCTTCGTGGAGGTGGGCATGGTGTGTCCAAATGTGTAGAACATGTGTGAGCATGTGTAGGTATGAGTGTGATTGTGTGTATAGGCGGGTATATGTAATGAGTGTGTGAGTGTATAGGCACGCAGGGCATGTGCACGCATGTGCCTCTAGCTGTGTGGCTGGCACATGGGTCTGTGCCGGCGTGCACTTGTGTGTGTGGCTCACCGTGGTGCGTGTGTGTGGGTTGGGGTGGGATGTGCCATGTGGAGCACGAACACACGTGCAGTGTGCACTGAAGTGAGGGTGAGCCCCGTGGTGGCGAGAGGGCCTGACTGGGCCTGATGGCGGAGGGTTTGCGAGCGCACGCTCTCATCACAGGAGGTACAGATGGCAGCAGGAGTTTCTCAGCGGGCTATTCTGGGTGGGAGCAAGATGCTGGCAACACGCTCATCCTCATATCTGATCAGAGACGAGCTATTCCTCCTGACAGATTCGGAGCTCAGGCCCTCTGTGCTGTGCATGAGTGTGTGTGTGTGTGTGTGTGTGTGTGTGACTGTGAGCCTGTGTTGGGGAGGGGAGGGGTGGGAAGCGGAGGGGAGCTGAGAAAGCACGTCTTCAGTCATCTTTAGGAAATAAATGTGACAGGGGTGAGACGACGGCACCTACATTTCTGGCGCACCATCTCTACTGTGGGCCAGGGCACGAGTCTCTTGGCTCAGTCCCTTTGGCCACAACAGCCTCCGAGGACTGAGTGACGACCATCTTAGCCCAGACTGGGGGCGCATTCCCTAGTCTCCTGGGAGAGGTGCAGAAATGCTCAGACGACACCTGGAAACACCAGCTGGGCCCTGGGCCCCTGGGCCCCTGGCATGACTGTCCAGGTGCCAGAAACTACTATTTATGAGCCTTCTGTGGACCGGGGCTTTATCGCACTTCACCAGCACAACATATCATGCAGTGGGTTTTATTAGACCCATTTTACAGACGAGGGAGCTGAGGGTCAGTGAGGTGAGGCCGTTTGCTCACATTCTCCCAGCTGGGTGCAGCAGCTCTTCTGTTACATGTCCAGGTAGGAGGTACCTGCCCCCACCCCCCAGGATGCCGCGCTTACCTGGTTCAGCTCGCAGAGACAACGAGAACTGTCTTTTCACTGTCCACCTTGAGGGGTCTTGTGAGTTTTGTGCTGGGCTGGGACAGGGTTGAAATGAACTCCCTGCCTCCATGACGTGCTGATGGGGCCAGGGGAGCTGACACGAATCGTGTGGGTTGGCAGTCAACTTTGTAGCTATCTGGGGATGCATCAGCCTTCTTTTGTGTTTGACAAAGGACTCTCAGTCCAGCGGGACACCTGGCCTTCTCCAAGCAGCAATGTTGCTTTCTGGGTGGGGGCTCCATCAAGGGCCCTCAGGGTGCTGCTGCCTGGGGAGCCCCCTAGTTCAGCCTTCCCTCCGTCTGACAGCTCTGCTTTCCCGCCATAGCCCCAGGGCTCTCACTCCAACCTGGGGGCAGAAGACCACGGAATCCAAGAGGGCGGCTCTGGGAAGGCCCTGAGTGACCTTTGAGCTCACCTGCTTCATGGTGTCGATGGGGAAACTGAGGACTAGATGGAGGATTGGATCGAGCCTAAAACCCACACTGGACTTCTTCCTGTCCTGGGACAGGAGTAGTGTGAGGAAAGAGGGCGTAACTAATGAATTAAACGGCTAGACTCATCGGAAGGCTCATACGTCTGTCTACCCACCCGCCCACCCACCATGCCCCTCCCCTCCACCTCCTATTCAATGTGGACATTTGTGCAGCTGACACTCTGACTTACCAAGTAAGGCAGCAACTTCATACGCCTTCTTCTGCTCAATTGTCTCATAATTGAGAGCTTCAAAAAATATATCCAGAACCAGGATGTTCTCTCTGCAGAGGGAATATTCAGGACCACGGTCAGAACCATCAGGATCCACAGGGATCAGTTAAGACAATTTTCCCGTGGACAGATGGAGAAACTGAGGCCCAGAGAAGCAAAACAACTGGCCGGAAGTTACAGCTGGTTAATGGCAGAGCTGGGCTGGAAACCTGGAGTCCTGACTCCCGGCCCAGTGCTCTTCACAGGACTTGGAGGCGAAGGGGGGCTGCCCTGCTTGGCCCCTTATCTCTATCGCCCCTCTCTTTGCATCCTCTCCAGGATCCCTGCCTGGCTTCCTGGCCTCTGGGCCCTCAAAGGGTTGGCCTGGGTGCTGACCTGCAGGTGAGCTCAGTTGCCCGTCCCTGCTGGCCTCCCCTGCCCACTCCTGAGAGGCCCCCATTTCCTACTGGGATTTATACAAGCTTCTCCTCGGGGGAGGCCCTACCCTGGTATTGCCAAGCCTGCTGCCTGAGCCAGGGAGCATTTTTAGGGAGCAAACCTATATGCCGCTGGGGAGGTTTCTGGCGGAAGCACTGGTTCCCTCTTGCTCCTTTTGGCAGGTGTGTTAATGAGACTCATCCTGGCAGGAAAAGTCATCATTGCCAGCAGAATGTCTGCTAAGCAGCAGGGCCCGGCACCTTCCGCAATTCCCCATCTCCTTCAGTGTTGCTCACAACGCCCTCGATGCCCCCTGTTTTCAAGCCGCTGAGCGAAAGCTGTCCCAGGATGGGGTTTGGTGACTGTGTTGGCAGGAGGGAGTGGCTGGGGAGAGAGAAGCAAATCCTCCTCTCCGTGCGGGGCTCCAGAGGCGCTATTCAAAGCGTCGCCATCTCTTGCCTGGTTTACGGCAATTGCCTCCTACCAGGCTCCCTTCTGCCCATCTGGCTTCTCATCAGTCGTCTTTACTGCCGCCTGAAGGATCTTTCTCCAACGGCCAAGCTAACTCACAGTAAATAAAATTCCAGTTCAGTTCCTCAGTCACACGGGCTGCATGTAAAATGCTCACTAGCCACATGTGGTTGGTGGCTACCACGTTGGATATCACAGATGGAGAACATTTCTATGGCTGCAGAAAGTTCTACTGGGGAGCAGTGATCTCAAATACAAACTGGAGCCTGTCACTCACCTGCTTGAGGTTCTTCAGCCGCAAAGTCCACTCCCTGCACCTGTTCCTGCCCTCCCCTCCCCCTCCCCAGCCTGCAGGACCCTCTGGCTCTGACATGTCCACCTGGCCCAGCTTCCTCTTGCAGTTCGCTCATGTGCCCTGCGCTGATGCTCTGCGCTGTGCCTCTGCCCAGGACTCCCTCTTCCCTTATGTCTTTCACTCATTTATTCTCTGAAAAGATATTTTTTGAGCACCGACTCTGTGCCAGACACTCCACAGCAGAGAACAAAAGAGACAGGTTCCTGCCCTCAGGAAGCTTTCCATCGAGTGCGGCAGGCAGGTAATAAACAAGGAAACACACACGTACACGAATATAGAATTACACACGGGCAGTGAGTGTTATAAAGGAAAATACCAGGAGGAAAATGTAGCTGTCTGAGGAGATGACGTTCAAATGGAGACCTGCACAATGGGGAACCTGTTAGGTGAAGAGTGAGAGGAAAAGCATTCCAGGCAGAGGGAACAGAATGTGCAAAACCTGCCTGGAAAACTCCTATACATCCTTTAAAAAAATCTCTGTAGCTTCCTTGACTGCATCTCCATTCAGTGTAGCAACCACTTCTCTGATTGCCTGATCAGCCTACATGAAAGCCCACACAGCACTCAGTTGTGTACTTGTCTCCCCACAAGACTGTGAGCTCCTTAAAAGCAGGGGCTGTGTCTTAATCATCTTTGTCTTCTTGTTTTCTAAGTGCTGAGCACAGAGCTCGGCACACAGTAGGTGCTCAATTAACATCTGCCAAATGGAACTAACTGCTTACCTTTGCTCGATTCTTCAACTGCTCCCAATTTCCTCCTCATCCACTCCCCTGACCGCCCCGCCCACCACCCTCCACGCCCACTTAGCTTACGAGATATATTTCTCTGATTTGTTAAACTTCTTCTCGAGGTACTTGGCCGACGTCTTGCTGGGAATCTTCACCATGGAGAGCTCTTTGTTGTAGCGGGTCAGGTTGCAGGGTGTCCTGCAGAGACAGTAATTACTGTCCTTCTCCGCCAGCAGACCTGGAGGGGAGAGGGAGGCGGGGCTTAGTCAGGTGTGGGGACTGGGGCCTCTGGACCCAGAGTGACTGGGGCCCAGCAGCAGAGATGTGAGCTGGGAGGAGGTGAGGGGTGGGGGGCTGCAGAGAGAAGCCAAACTGGCTCTTGCTACAGGTCCACGAAGGTGTGAGCTTTCATAAATAAGCGCCCACTTCCTATGTTACTCTTGGTCTTGTCTTCCTTCTGCTCCCTTTACTGTCATGCTGCCCTTTAAAAATTGTCGAAAAGGTACCGCTTTCGGAGAATGTGCTCCAACGGAGTCCTGGCCCCCTCAACTTCCCAGGCCCTTCTTCTCTGCTCCTAGCCTCAGTGTTCTCATCCACAAAGTGGGCTGCCCGTCAAAGGCATACATGGGAAACTGTTTTATCTGAAACCCGGGGCTCTGTGGTATTCTCTCTGGGGCTCCCCGATAGCCCGTGCGCACCTCCTCCGCCCGCTGGGTTAGCATGCAGGCAGATTCTCGTTTCCTTTTCCTAGAAGCAACCTCCCCACATCTGGAACACCTCTCTCCTTGTCCTCTTCTTCCATTCAGGATGGAGTGGTTAAAGGCGTCATTTTCCTCCCTCCCCCTTTCCTCTAACCATCTTGGTGTGCCTGGCTACCCATGCATTTTGTTGATTCTTTACTCCAAAGAGAGGCTGAGCCTTTGCACACCTCAGGAGTCGCTCCCTCTCCTTGCAGCCAGTCCTCCTGGAGGCATGTGGGTGTGAGTCCAGAGCTGCCCCCACTTCGTTCTAGCAAGTGCTGCTGCTGAACAAACTTGAGTCCATACGATTTAAAATTCTCTCTGTTTGTCTCGATGATAACCATTTCCCAGGTTCGGAGAGAGGCTAAGTTTGGGGTTACAGCTTGTGCGTGCTTGCCCACAGTTTTCCAGCGGGAGCGGAACGGGGACCAGCAGAGTTATTCCAAACTGCAAACGCCCAGCAGGCGGAGGAGGGGGAGTGCTCCGTGCCTTCCATTTGCACACCCAGCCTTGCCCCACCCCTTCCCCCACTCAACGGAGCATGCAAAGACAGGACTGCTTCGGAATAACCTGGGCCTCCTCATGGGAACCATCAGAGTGTGTGCGGGGAGGTACCGCCAGGCTCCATCAGGTGCCCACCCGGCTGCCTAGGGTCCCTCCTCTCTCCACCTCTGTCCCCTCCTCTGTGTCCCTCAGTGCCCTCTGAAATCTGCTCCCTTTCTCTCCTCCAGTGCCCCTGCCAGCCTTCAGCCACTTGTATCAATTCCCTCCTCCACCCTGCTCTCCTTCCTGCTCTCCATCTCCCTCCCCTGTTCTGCGGCAGCCCCATCCTGTCCAGCTTCTTTCCCCTCATCCTTCTCCATTCCCCCTTCCACCCATCTCTCTCCCACACCCAGAAGGTCTCCAAGGTCATAACCTCAAGGCCCCCCTCCCCCCGCATTCCATCTGTCCCAGTACCGACCTAGCGCAGGCTCTGCACACTCCTTGTGCTGCTCAGGGGTACAGAACGGGGCATCCCCTGCAAAGAAGAAACACAGGGAGAGGTGCTCGGGCAGCAGCACCTCTCTCCTGGGCCTGTGGGGAGTGAGTGCATGCACCTATGGGGGAGGGGCAACAGTCCCCCAGTGGACAGTCAGGAGGGAGCCATGGATCAGGGCTGCCTGTGGGCAGCAGGGGAGCAGGACCCAGAGCAGAAGTTTGGTTCTGGTCTGCTCTGTGACCTTGGGAAGGTGACTACGGGAACTGCCTGGCTGACTTCTCCCAGGCTGCTGAGCAGGTCCAACTAACTCCCATAGGTGACTGGTGAGAAAGCCTCGATGGCTGGAAGTGGGGAGGCGCTGGTGAGCACTCGCAAGTCCCGGCCATGCATTGTTGCCTTTAACCGGTACCCGTATCCTTGGAAGTAGGAAGCAGTGTATCTGTTTTACCCCTGAGACACTTGAGGCCTAGGTATCCTGCCTTCCCAGGACACAGAGCTAGCCGTGAGGGAGGTGCCCTTTGAACCCAGGGCAGTCTGAGCCCGAGGCGAGGGCTCCATCCACCGCCCACACGGCCTCACGGGAGCAAGGGCTGCTGTGTAAGTCTCTTTGCTTTGCCCTTAATTCCACGTTAGTAATTAAGATGCCAGCAACAGTGTCGTGAGCAGAATGATGAAAATCTCTACTGCTTGCGTTAGGCTCAGTTTCCACGGGGGAAACCTCACTGGCTGGTGACCCAGTCTGAGCGCCGGATTCTCCTCTCTGGCCTCTCCTTGTTGAAATCCAGGACATTTTTATTTTCTTTTACCAAGTGCTAAAGTTAAAGTCCACCACAGTGTCTTTTCTTTACCATTTCCTCCAAAATTTTTTTCATGGGCTGAAGAGCTGACATGCTTCTTCCTTTCCAATAATAGCAATTAACTGATGTGTTTCCCTTTTTGCTCTGTCTTTCTAGGAAGCTCAGGGGCAATTTTAAAGATCAATAATTCTAATCTTAGATTACTAAAGAAATTACTGATGACTACTGAAATAATTCAGAATTTCGCTACAAGATGTTCATTTTAGCACTGGTTATTACGGAAAACAAGTGGTAGTGAACTAAACGTCGGACATAAGAATTTAGTTAAATAAGGGGTGGCCCCGTGGTCCAGTGGTTAAGTTTGTACGCTCTGCTTCAGTGGCCTGGGGTTTCCCGGTTAGGATCCTGGGCACAGACCTACACACCACTCTTCAAGCTGTGCTGTGGTGGCATCCCACATAGAAGAACTAGAATGATTTATAACGAGGATCTACAGCTATGTGGTGGGGCTTTGTCGGGGTCGGGGCGGGGGGTGGAAAGAGGAAGATTGGCAACAGATGTTAGCTCGGGGCCAATCTTCTTCACCAAAAAGCATACCTTTAAAGAATTTAGTTAAATAAAGTTAAATAAAGGATGATATAAGCACGAAATGGTAGCCATTAAATATAATAGCAAAGTTCCTGGCATATAGTATGTTTTCAATCAACATGACTTTAGGTTTCTTCTCTCTATGTGCTAACACAGCAACCACTGACTTTCGCAGTTTACAAGCATTTCTATATCCTAATTTTGTCCTCATAACAGCTAATGATTCTGTTTTAAAGATAATGAAGGTGAGAACAGAGAGGTTTACTAAGTGGTGCCAGTCACACTGCAGGTGAGCGGGGGAACCTGAATGAGAAGCCACGGCCCCTGCCTCAGCCGCAGTCATCCTGCTATGCCACAACACCAAACTCTTCCGGCCCGGTGAGCGCCCCCTCCGCACTTCTGCCTCTGACATGCTGGCCGCCTCTGATGAGACGGCTGCACGCATTGTCACTCCGACAGCAGAAATGTCAGGACACGCACAGTTATTTGCTCGCTGATGGACTTTTGCTTCATTTGAAAGAGTGCTAGACATTTGGATGCAAGAAGGGAAACATCTGGATGAAAGCAACAAACATCTGGATGTTTGAATGTGTACCATATCAGGATGCAAGAATTGTGAGCATCCAGATATCTGGACACTAATCTCTAGGATGTAAGAGCGGCAGATAATTAGCAAACACATGAGCATTGGGAGGAATGTTCTCCAAACATCTGGACGCTTCTGGACACCAGGATGCTGCCTTGGTTGCTAGACTGGATGTTTCCATCTTCCCTTTAAATGTTTAGGAACCAAATAACAGAACAGTCTTCCCAGAACGACATCCCTTTGGATCCTCGTGGAGAGGGTAAAGTGTTTCCCATCAGGGTGAGAAATGCAGAGAAGGTCCCAGGAGGTCCCAGCGGGGCCCTGCGGCCGGCAGGCCCCTGGCACTGACCTGGCATGTGAACCATGCGGCAATTGCAGTTCTCCACAATGTAGCGGGTCTCACAGTCAATCCTACAGGCGGTGATGCTGTAAACAGGGAAGAAGTCGAGGCCCATCTCTGAGGACCGGCACTCCCCCCACGGCGGGGGCAGGTATGTGAGCTGCAAGACAGGGAGAGGGGGAGCTGTCAGCCCTGGAGGTTCAGCCTTGACAGACTCAGTGGCTCATTCATTCACTTATCCAATCAACAAACAATGATTGAGCATCCACTACATGACAATCTAAACTCTACTGACCTCACAGGCCTTCACCATTTGGCTCCAATGCTAGTCTTCCTATCTTATCTTTTATAACCTTCCCATAAAGACTGATCTTCTCAGAGTCTCTTACACATACCACATGCCTTCCCACTTCCACACTTCGTCATCTCACATCTCTTGGAATGACTCGGCTAAATTCTATCCTCTTGGCTTGGGACATTCCGACCCCAGGCCTCGATCTGGAGGACGAAACGTGGAGGAGGTTCAAGATGAAATGGCTTTAGGCATAAGCAATGTTACTTAGTCTCTTTGGCCCTGATTAGAGCAATTCTCCAGTGTCATGCCGTGGACAAACTCCTTTGGGGAAAATGACACTCTTATTCTCAGAGGTCCAATGACCATAAAATATTCTAGCACCTCTGGTACCTACCTGCTGGGGGGGGTGGGGGGAGTGAAGAATGAGGGAACCAGTGGCTTTTGAGCACTAACTATGAAATAAGCCTCAAGCTAAGTCCCTTATACTTATCTTTCTCTTTTAATTGAAGAATAAAAAATGCAATAAAATGCACGCATTTTCAGTGCATAGTTCAACACATTCTGAAAAATGTGTATACCTATGTAACCCCCACTGCAATCAAGATATAGCACATTTTCAATCACTTCAGAAAGTTTCTTCCCATCTCTTTCCAATCAGGCCCCCACCCACCCAGGCAATCGCTGTTACAAATTCTATCACCGTATGTTGGCTTTGCCTGCTCTTGAATTTCATATAAATGAAAACTTACACTATGTGCTCTTTAGTGTCTGGCTTCTTTTGCTCAACACAACGTTTTTGAGATTTATCCCCATAGTTGCATGCATCAGTTCATTTCTTTTTATTGCTGCATAGTTTTCCGTTGTACCAATACCCTACAATCTGTTTATCCATTCTCCCGATGACAGGCACTTGGATTGTCGCCAAGTTTGGTAATTACAAAAAAGCGCCTGCTAACATTTGTATATGTCATTTTGTGGACATGTATTTTGATTTCTCTTGGGCAAATGGCGAGGAGTAGAGCAGTTGGTTCGTAAGATAGGTCTAGGTCTAACTTTATGGGAAACCGTGGACCTGTAATCTGAGTGGTTATACTATTCTTCACTCCCACTAGCAGTGTGCGAGAGTTCTAGTTACTCCACATTCTTGCCAAATCTTGATTTTGTCCATATTTTAAATTTTAGACATTCTTGTAGGTGTATAGTTGAACCTCATTGTTGTTTCTATTTGCGGTTCCCTGACAACTGATGATTGAGAGCACAATTTTATGTGTGTATTGGCCGTTTATATATTATCTTTGTGACATGTCTTATTATTAAAAAGACTTGCTTGTTTTTTCCTTTTATTATTGAGCTGTAAGAGTTCTCCATATATTCTGGATACAAGTCCTTTGTCAGATATATATATTGAGAATATTTTCTCAATACCTTTCATAGTTTGTGGCTTTTCTTTTTCATTTTCTTAATGGTATGTATTTTTTTCTACTTTTAAAATCAACTGCATTAAGATATAATTGACATATAATAAAATGCATCAATTTTAAAGTACAAGTCAATGAATTTTTACAAATGTATACACCCTTGTAACAACCACTCTATCAAGATACAGAACATTTCCATTAACCCCCAAATGTTCCCTACTTGCAGTCACTCCCCCCTCCCCAGCCCTCAGGCCATCACTATCTGCTTTCTGTCATTATACATGAGTTTTGCCTGGTCTAGGATTTCATATAAATAGAACCTTATAGTAAGCATTCTTTTGTGTCTGGCTTCTTTCAGCATGTTTTTGAGATTCATTCATGCTCTTGCATGTATTGTAGTTTGTTCCTTTTTATTGCTGAATTTTACTTCTTCCTTTCTAGTGTTTATTCTTTTTATTTTCCTTTTCCTTCTTCACTACATTGCCTGGAAACTCTATATTGTATAATGTTGGAAAAAATGGAGAGACAGGATATCCTCACCTTATTCCTGAGCTTAGGAAGAAAGAGTTCATTATTTCACGATTAAATATGTTAGGCATACGTTTTTCTTAGATGCCCTTGTCAGAATGAGGCAGTTTTCTTCTATTTCCACTTTGCTGAGAGTTTTTATCTTCGAGTAGTATTGAGTTTTGGCAAATACGTATTCTGTTTCTATTGAGATGATCACATGATTTTTCTCCCTTATTCTGTTAACATGGTGAATGATATTGACTCATCTACAGATGCTGAACCCATCTTGCATTTCTGGGATAAGCCCCACTTGGTCACGATTTATCATCCTCTTTATATATTGCTGTATCCGATTTGCTATTATTTTGTGGAGGATTTTTGTATCTATGCTCATAAGTGATATTGTATTTAAATTACTTTTCTCGTCCTTGTCAGGTTTTGGTATTGGGGTTATTATGCTAACCTCATAAAATAAGACTTATAAAGTGTTTCCTCTTTCTCTGTTTTTTGAGTTTGTGTAGATTTGGTATCATTCCTACCTTAAGTATTTGACAGGATTCACAAGTGAAGCCATCTGGACTTGGTGTGTGTGTGTGTGTGTAAAGATTTTTAATTATGATTCGGTTCCTTTAATGCATTTAGAGACATTCAGATTCCCTATTACTTTTTGTGATAGTTTTGTTGAGTTTTTTCCCCCAAGGAATTTGTCCATTTCATCTAAGTTTTTGAATTTATTGGCATTAAATTGTACATTATATTCTCTTAGCATTTTTTAAATGTCTGTAGGATTGGTCGTGAAGTCCAGCCATTGCTGATTCTAGTAACTTGTGTTATCTCTCTTCTTCCTTATTGTTTTTGATTCCTAATTTAATTAGGCTTTGTCAGAAAACATACCCTCCATGGTTCCATTCTCTTAAAATTTATCAAGATTGTTTTATTGTTCAGCATATGGCGTATCTTGGAGAATGCTCCATGTGCATTTGAAAAGTATGAGCATCCTGTAATTGTTGGTGGAGTGTTTTATAAAAGATAGTCAGGTCAAGTTGTTTGATAGTGTTGCTCAAACCTTTGTTTTTACTGACTTTTTGTCTACTTACTCATCAATTACCGAGGGAAGAGTGTTGAAATCTCTAGCTATGACTGCGGATTTGTCTATTTCTCCCTTTAGTTTTATCAATTTTTGCTTCATGTATTTTGAGAACTTTTCATTCAGAACACACACATTTAGGATCATTATATCTTCTCAATGAATTGATTCCATTATCATTGTGAAATAACACTCTTTATCTCATGCAATGTCTTCGTCTTGAAGTTTACTTTGTGTAATATAGATGTAACAGCTTTCTCATGGTTACTTTTTGTCTTTTCCCATTCTTTCCACTTTTTTCATCTATCCTTTCAGTTTTAATGTCAGAATATTTGTACATTTAAGGTACATCTCTTGTAAACAGCCTATTTGGGTGTTGCTATCTTACCCTATCTGACAATCTCTGCATTTTAATTGGAGGGTTTAATCCATGTATACTTAACATAATTCTTGATATGGTTGAGTCGAAGTCCCCATCTTACTCTTTGTTTCCTATTTGTCCCCACTGCTATTTCTTCCTTTGTTCTACCTTTCCTGACTCCTTTTGTGTTAACTGAGTAGCGTTTTAGCAGTTCATTCCATTTCCGCTATTGGCTTTTGATTCCTACCTCTTTGTATTATTATTATTTTTAGTTGTTGCTCTAGGATTTACAATATGCTTGCTTAACTTATCACAGTCTATCTTGAATTAACATTATACCACTTCTCACATAATTCTGTTTACGTTCCTTCCTGTCCTTTTTGCTATTGCTGTCCTATATTTTATTTTTACATCTGTTAGAAACTCTATAGTACACTGTCATTATTTCTGCTTTAAGCAGCCCATTGACTTTCAAAGAAGTTGAGAAAAGAAAGAAAACATATTTTGTATTTACCCACAAATATACCATTTTCCCTGTTCACCATTCTTTCTGTAGATCTGAATTTCCATTTGCTATCAGTTGTCTTCAGGCTGAAAAACTTTCTTTAATATTTCTTTCTTTAAAATTAAAAAAATTATTTTATTGAGGTCATATTGGTTTATAACTTTGTGTAATTTCAGGTGTACATTATTATATTTCAGTTTCTGTTTAGACTGCATTGTGCTCACCACCAATAGTCAAGTTTTTAATCTGTGCCCATACATAGATGCCTCTTTACCCCTTTCACCCACCCCACACCCCCTTCCTCTCTGGTAACCACTAATCTGTTCTCTTTATGCAAGTATGTGTTTATCTTCCACATATGAGTGAAATCACATGGTATTTGTCTTTCTCTGGCTTATTTTGCTTAACATAACACCCTCAAGTTCCATCCATGTTGTTGCAAATGGGAAGATTTTGTCTTTTTTTATGGTTGAGTAGTATTCCATTGTATATATATACTGCGTGTTTTTTATGCATTCATCAGTGGATGGGAACTTGGGTTGCTTCCATGTCTTGGCTACTGTGAATAATGCTGCAATGAACAAAGGGGTGCATAGATCTCTTTATATTGTTGGTTTCATGTTCTTTGGATAAATACCTAGTGTGGGATAGCTGAATCATATGGGATTTCTATTTTTAATTTTTTTGAGAAATCTCTACATTGTTTTCCATAGTGGCTGCACCAATTTGCCTTCCCACCAGCAGTATGTGAGGGTTCTCTTTTCTCCACAGCCTCTCCAATATTTGTTATTTTTTGTCTTGTTAATTATAGCTATTCTGACAAGTGTAAGGCGATATCTTATTGTAGCTTTGACTTACATTTCTCTAATAATTAGTGATGTTGAACATCTTTTCATGTGCCTGTTGGCCATCTGTACATCTTCTTTGGAAAAATGGGGTCTGTTCATATTCTCTACTCATTTTTTGATTGGATTATTTGTTTTT